CGTGGGCGTGCGCCCCACGCTGGGAACGCGCATCTGGGCCGAGTTTGAACATTTCAGCGTCCGAGGGCCACGGTAGCAACAATAAATTCAGCTTCACATTTAAGTCCCTTCGTCCTTTTTTTAAATAAATTGGAATTTGCTCATCCACAAGTTTCAGATGGTACCTATCACTCAATGTTGCTGTTTAGTTGTTTTTTTTTCATGTCAAATGACTACACGCCCCCCGACCCCCCCACCTCCCACCCCGAATGACATCCATTCTGTGCGTAAGCAAAACTGGGTTTTACCTTTACAGCGAGAGGACATGCTCAGGGGACCTGATCGCGACGGCCATCGCCTGTCCCCACGGGGCAGGCCTGTATTTACCTGGGACGGACCGGCTGACGTGTGGCACAGAAACACAGCAGGACGAGAATGACCAACCGCGTTCACGGGGCTGGGCCCTCAGGGAGAGAGGCCGGTGGGTGATCCAGGCTCGGGAGGTTCTCGGGGCGACAAAGAAAGAACTCCGGGTCCCAAGTCGGACCCGTTCTCTCTCTCAGGGTACCCCCTCGTGGGACCCACACCCATGGGACGCTCTCCCAGACGCTGAGAATGAAACTCTACGGCTGGGAGGTTCCTGTCCCCTTAAAACCAGCCCCAAACCCACTTGGCGTCGCCCCTGGAATCCCCTGGGTGGGAATAATGCCAGAGCTGGGCAGCGGAGGAGCGCCTTCCACGGGAATGACCGGCCATGTCGAGGGTTCCGGGTGCTGGCGTTACAAACACACGCTACTGCCCGGCCGGCGTGGCTCCGTGGATGAGTGTCCACCTAGGAACCAGGAGGTCAGGGTTCGATTCCTAGTCAGGGCACAGGCCCGGGTTGCGGGCTCCATCCCCATTGGGGGGCGTGAGGGAGGCAGCCGATCCGTGATTCTCTCTCATCATGGATGTTTCTGTCCCTCTTCTCTCCCTGAAATCAATAAAAATATTTTTTAAAAAAACCAGCAAACCCCGCTACGGCAGGCGTACTTGTGATTTCCGGTGCTAACAGAACATCCTCGTGACATATTTCCCAGCTCGTTTCGGACCGAGAGGGGAATGAATGGCTCATGGACAGTGAAACCTCCCTCCAGGGCCCGGGCAGCGGGGGAGGGGAGATCGATGGACAACATAACAAACACTGTTTTCACCGATGGCTCAAGTGTTGTCTGTCTTTGTGCGCGGGGAGCGACGGAGCCCGGCTCTCGAATTGTCTCAAGTATATCTGGACTCGGACATAATAAGCTTCGTCTGTACATTCTGAGCCCCTTTGGAAGCATTTCGGAAAGACAGGACTACTTAGAAAAATTAACTTTTTTTTTTATTCCATTCAGTTGTGGAGAAAGAAAGAGCATGATATCCCAAATTCAACGCGTCTCTCCTCGCTCGAGAGGCCGGGGCGGGGGGAACAGCCGCCCGGCAGGAAACGTCCCAGGTCTGGGTGCGGGATGATCGGTCCGGCTCGCTCGTCGACGCCAGGAAGGGCTGCGTAGCGGCGAGAGGTCAGCGCGACGGACGGAGGGCCCGACGCAAGTCTCTCCCGCTACCGCAGCCGGAGTCCTGCGTCTGGGGGGGCCTCACCACGTTTACAAAATGGAGAAGCTATAAAATAATTGGATTGGAAGAAAACTCGTTTTCTTCTGAAATGGAGTAAAGCAAACACATACCCAAGGATCTTAAAAAGTTGTGTGTGTTTTTTTACAGAATATATGTATGTATCTGTGTGTGCGTGTGCATGTGCGTGTGCGTGTGTAGTTATAAACACTATTTATAGTTAGAGCTATTATGTTGACTTCATCGCAGTGTCTATAAAGTTGTGGGTCCCCGTCTTGGTGCCAAAAGCATATAAAAAGCTCAAAAGCTACTAGGATGATACCATGCAAATTTAGATCCAGAAAACCTTGGGAAGCCGACTGTCGCGCTTCTGAGCCCCGGGGGGTCTCTGCCTTGGATGTTTGGATTCCTCGACTAACGCGTCAGAGGTGTCGTGAGCCGCTGCTCTACCAGGAAGGATGAATGTCACAGTTCCCAACAGCTGTGCCCGTCCTACGGAAAGCGACCAATGACTGGGTTTCTGTCCACGTTCCTCTGTGTTTTGGGGGGCCCTCCTCCTTGAGTGACCGGGTACGGAAAAAGCCACCTGAAGCATCGGAAGGGACCAAGGTCTTTGTGTCTGTGACGTGTTAACAACGATAAGGCCACTTACTGGGTTTCTCCCCGATCTGACTTCTAAGCTCCCCCAGTGTCGCCCACGGGAAAAAGAAAAACTGTCAGAGAACAGCGGAGGCCGAGAGGTCACTGGAGAGTCTAGAGAAAAATGCCCCGGGGAGCGGGACCCGGAGGAGATGCTGAGGGGAAGGAGGGATGAAGGAAGGGGAAGGGCTTCCTGAAGGCCAGTCCTTGCTTCTAGCGTGAGACTGCGGACTACCCTTCAGACGACAGTGGGTTCTGAGCTGTTAGAGACACCCACAAAGGTAGGGCCGCCTTTAAGATCTAGTGATGGGCCCGGCCGGCGTGGCTCAGGGGTTGAGCATCGACCTGTGAACCAGGAGGTCGCGGTTTGATTCCCGGTCAGGGCACATGCCCGGGTTGTGGGCTCCATCCCCAGTGTGGGGGGTGCAGGAGGCAGCCGATCCGTGATTCTCTCTCATCATGGATGTTTCTCTCCCCCACCCACCCGCTTCCTCTCTGAGATCAATAAAAATGCATGTAAAAAAAATAAAATAAAACCTAGTGATCGGCTCGAGACGAGAGCCCACACCCTAAGCATGCTGGGAAAGGTGGTCCCTCTGTGTGAGCGGAGAACAGCGGTACCAGCCTGGCCGGCGTGGCTCCGTGGTTGAGCGTCGACCTATGAACCAGGAGGTCACAGTTTGATTCCCGGCCAGGGCACAGGCCCGGGTTGTGGGCTTGATCCCGGTGTGGGGGGTGCGGGAGGCAGCCGATCCGTGATCCTCTCTCATCATGGATGTTTCTCTCTCCCTCTCCCTTCCTCTCTGAAATCAACAAAAATTAAGAGAGATCACTGGCGAGTCTAGAGAAACCCCCCCCCCCCCCAGGGAGCAGGACCTGGAGGAGGTGCTGAGGGGAGGGAGGAATGAAGGAAGGGAACGGGTTCCATAAAAACCGGTCCTTCTTCTAGCGTGAGACTCTGTGGCCGGCTGTTTACCCACGGGGGGCTCTGGGCTGCTAGAGACGCCCACAGACAAAGGCTGGTTACGATGGGGGGCTGGCTGACCCTGGTCCTGGGGCAGAACGGAGAGGGCGAGGCGTGAGTGGCATTTGGGGAGAAAAGTCTTCATTTGGCGGTTCTGTCCTGACTAGCTTGCCTTTTCCCCCCTCTTTCTTTCTTCTCCAAATGCGCTCACTGCACTGTGACATCTGTTTGCATAACGGCCGTCCTTCCAGTCTACGGATGCCTGTGATAGAAAGATTGTTTACAAAAAATATATCATCTCTTTTTTCTTTAGAAAGATCTCATCTAAGTAGGAAGTTAAGGTCGCGTCTATGAAACCGGTGCACCTGGTCACGTGTCTACGCGCTTTTAAAAAGTCCCAGATACGCATGAGGCTGTGGATCGGATGGAGAGGTGTGTGTGTCTGTGTGCGTGTGTGCGTGTGTGTGCGTGTGTGCGTGTGTGTGTGTGAGACCAGGGGACTCTCCTTTGCCTCCGGAGGATGCTGGGCTCGGCGGGGAGCGCGTGTGAGGACGGGGCGGGCTCCCGCCGCGTCCCAGCCGGGCCAGCCGGGGTCGGATGTGCTTAGTGACGATGTCAGAGGCAGAAATGAAGGCGTGAGGGTGTGTCTCGGTTTCCGACACCTAACGGCAGGATGTGTGCGCTTCCCTCTGAGGTTCTAGGGGGACAGAAAGCGGTGCGTCGTGGGGAGAGCACGACACGGCATGCTGCCATGGAGCAAGCACAGACACGGCCGGGAACTCGGCAGGAGATGCACATGACGCGGACGCACCCGCTGTCCGCACACCGCGTGCGGGAGGGCGAGCGGGAGGCCGCCCGGTGGCTTTACCTTTAGCGGAACCAAGGTCCTGAGACGGCTACGCTTCGGGAAATCCCAGCCTAGAGACCCAGAGATGGGACGCGGGGGGCGGGAGGGTGACACTGTCGGCGACGGGACATGTCAGCTGACCCTCGGTCGCCACTGAGTTCCCACAAGGACGGGCGAGCTGGTCCCCTCCGAGCCAACACCAGAGTCCTGACGCCGAGGAGAGGAGAGGAGAGCCTTCTGGTCCGACGGGTCCCCCGCAGGGGAGGTCCGGGTGCCAGCGTGGGGGCCGCCTGCGTGTCGGACGTCACGGGGGGAGCCCACCTCGTCCGGGACACTGTCCAGCCAGGGACCCCCCATCGCCGAGAAGTCCGCGCCTTTGCCCAGTCCATGGGCAGAGGGGCCGGAGCGGGGGGCGGGGGTGGGGGGGGTGAGTCCTCTGACACCAGCAACACCGCTGTCCGGGTTTCTGACGACTGAGAGTTTGTCCTTCGGTTTTTTTTAAACCAAAACAGCTGTAACTTAGGGGAACAAGAGACACGGTTTGGGGTGACAGTAGGGGTCCCGCCCTCATTCTCAAGGCATGATATTCAGACCACGCTCGTCCCTTGCACTTAAAAAACACGCACCGTGACTTTCTCGCATGTGCATCCTGCGTGGAGTTTGTCCAGAGCTGCAAACAGGTAGGTCACATGTACGTGTGTGTGTTTGGCAACCCACGGGGGCGCGGACACCCGCGTGGAGAAACATATACACATACATCCTCATAGACACGTGTGTCTTATATATATGCTGAGACAACTGCGTATGTTATCTGTGTGTGTGTGTCTGTCTGCGTGTCTGTGTGTGTGTGTGTGTGTGTGAGTGTGTGCGTGGGAGCAGGTAGAAAAACTCGACAGGCAGAGGAATATTCCACTCAGTGTTGTTAGGTGACGTCTTTGAGGAAAAGAAAAGCGAAACTCGGGTGCCGCCGGCCGCTCAGTTGACGTAGTAGAGCCAGTAGACCAGGTTGAAGAGCGAGAAGGTGAAGGGGAACAGCGAGAAGGTGAAGGGGAACACGATGCGGGACCACCGGTCGATGGCGTTCACGTCGGTCAGGTCGGGGATCTTGATCTTGAGCGTCTTCTTGTGGGGCAGGCCCCGGTCCCCCAGGTGCCGGCCGGGCCCCTCCCGGGGCGCGCTCTGCTTCCGGTACTGGATCCCTGAGTTGTCGAAGGAGATGGCGGAGTTCCGGGTGTCCCCCAGGCCGCCCGCCACCTCGTTCATCTCGTTGTGCACCTCCAGGGACGTCAGCAGGATATTCCCGTGGGCGTCCACCTAGGGGGGGACATGCGCATGGTCAGGCGGGAGGCCGGCCGGCCGGCGGGGAAAGCTCGTGTCCCAAGGCAAACCCTGACCCACGTGTCCTGCAGCCTCGGCCTGTGGATGACGGAACTGGCACACGCGTCAAAGCCGAGCTCTGTGTTGGGGGGAAAAGCCATTTGGGAGGTTTAACGGGGGGGGGGGGGGGCTTGGTGATTGTATTTCCCTGATTGAAAAATTCACACACAGACTAAGGGGAGGGGGGCCTTTTCAGATTGAAATTTCACAGGACGGAGACAAAATTACGGAAGAGAAAATCAAATCACGTCTTTCAAGATGCCCACGTGGGCATGACTGGATGGAAACTCAATCTCCGTTCTTTCTTTCTTTTTGTTGTTGTTAATCCTCACTCGAGGGTATTTTTCCGTTGATTTTTAGAGACCGGAAGGGAGGGCGAGAGACAGAGAAACGTCAATGCCAGAGAGACAGGGGCGTGCCCGGGACCGGGATCTAACAGGCGGCCTCCCGGTGCCGCTGACCCACTCGGGCCGGGCCCAGGACGCCGCTCCCGTGTCAGAGTGGGTGAACGTGTAACGGAAATAATAATCCCGGAAGGAACTGGTTTATGCCTCAAAGCAATAAGGCCTCAGTGTAAACGCATCGGCCCCTTTTGATGTAAAAAGATTTCATTTTCCTGGGAACCCATGTGTGGAAAATGTCCATGAAAAGTTATAATAAGGGACTGTTATTTTTCTGAAAGAATTAAAGGGTTATTATAATCTTAGGAACCAAACACTTTAAACAAACACCGCTGAATCTGGCACAATACGGAGGCTTGGGGGCTGATCGCCCAGGCAGTTGCAAACTCCCACAACAGCTTACATCGCGGGATCCCCGATGAAGGACCAACAACATGTATAGGAATCTTTCCCCTTCATTTCCTGACTACGCCTTCTTCTGAGGCGTCTGTGTCGTATCCGCCAGTGGGAACCACCGACTGCAGCACAGTCCTTCTCCCTGCTCTCCCTGGACAGGCGTGAACACGCCAATAAAACAACAAAACGTCGCCTGCGAACGGATCCCAGGGGATGTTTGTTTCTTCCTGAAACGTGTGTCCCGACTGGGACACGGCAGGTGTCGCATCCCCGACCGGCCTCCGAGCTTCCCCATGAGCGAGACGCCCTCGTTCTAGGGAAAATGGGAAGGCAGCTGTCCTGTGGGGGATGGAACCCGCTCGTTACAAGAGCGAAAATGTCAGCCCGCAGCTCTGACTCCTGGGCGAGGAGAGGCCCTTCTGCCACCTGATGACAGTCAGACACGCACTTGGTCACCTTGTAAAACAGCCCCAGGCTGAGACCGTGCACCGGAGACCAGCTCTCGGGTGAAACACCACACAACACCACCGTCAGGAACAAATAGAGGTTAAACACAAACAAATCAAGGTCAGGAGGCGCACTGCCCGCCTGGTCCGAGAGAAAGTAAGTGAATCTGGGGATGTCTGGAGCATCGGTATTCAACCCCTGAGGCGCACGGCGGCACAGCCGCTGGGTACGAGGAAAACTGCTCGGGATTCACGGGGGGGGGGGGGGTCCACAGCATCGAGTCACAGAGGCAGCTGGTGGGAGCACAGAGCCCCCTGGCAAAGGCCCTCGCAGCTCAGGGGGGAGCGCCGACCTAGGAACCAGGAGGTCACGGCTCGATCCCCAGTCGGGGCACATGACCAGGTCGGGGCTCCATCCCCAGTCAGGGCACATGACCAGGTCGCGGCTCCCTTCCCAGTCGGGGCACATGACCAGGTCGCGGCTCCATCCCCAGTCAGGGCACATGACCAGGTCACGGCTCGATCCCCAGTCAGGGCACATGACCAGTCAGGAGCGTGCAGGAGGCTGCTGGTCCCAGTCCAGGGGAAGTACAGCCCCCCACCCCACCCCCAGGGCTCTCAGCTCTAACACAAAGGGGCTCCCTGGGGCCATGCTGGTTGGGCAACAATGAGCCGTGGTAACGCCCAAGGACCCAGTCCAGAGTGCCGACCCCGAGTGCCCTGACCGGGG